TGTAGTGGAAGCAATTACGACTCTAAGATGTTGTATGTACATACGTACACATATATACGTACATACATACGTGAAGATACGTAAATATGTGTGCGGGTTTTAACCCGTACACGTATATACGTATAAAATACGTACGTAAAACGTACGTGAAGATACGTAAATATGCGTATGTGTTAAAACTCGTACGCATATATACGTTAAAAATACGTACGTGAATATACGTAAATATGTGTACGTGTTAAAACCCTTACGCATATATACGTATAAAATACGAAGTTTCAATTTTTATACCGTTTATATCGTTTTTTTTCACGTAATGCATCTCTATATATATAAAATGTTACCGCCACTTCGAAGATACATACAAACATCATCACTTTGACGTGATTTTCATGTTTTATGATGGTTTATTGGATTAAGGGTTGTGAGAGTATAATATATGAGAAGATAAATGAAAGGGAATGTGTGAAAAAATATGAAATAGGAGGTTGGTATTTATAGTGAAATTGGTATTACAAAAAAAAAATTAAAAGAAATACTTAAAGCCCGGGGGCGATCCGATGACGTGGCTCGCCCCAAGTAGACAAAAAAAATAGAAAAAAAAATTCCTAAGAAAAAGGGTGGATCGCCCCCGAAATGTATGGATCGTCCCTGGGGGCGATCCGTGTGGTTAGTTTTGTAAATCCCTTAAAATTGGTTATTTTGTGGAAGAGGGTTGTATAAAGTGGTTAGTTTTGTCATTTTTCCTATAATGAAACATTAAAATTGAGATATATCTCGCAATATTATGCGAACACCCTTCTACTATTGTTAAATGCATTTGTATATGTTAATTATATATATATATATATATATCAATATTAAAATTTATTTGTTACATTTTTAATATATGATATGATTTTTGATATCAACATTGTGTTTTTAAATTTGGAAAGAAAATAAAAGAAATGGATAATGAATATAAGCAGTAATATCTTTTTACAATTATATGACGTTATAATTCAATAAGTGGATGATTTGTGTGTTTTAACTTTTGAGGTATAAAATATAAGCAATATGTGACAAGATTGACATGTAGTAATAAACATGAAAAAGGATCAAAAATTAGTTTCTTTTTTTATAAAGGTTAAAGTCACTCGTGTTCGTGAACGGACATAGTAACGTGCCACCGTTTCATTCATCCGTCATATTGTAAAAAAAAATAGGTTCGTGAAAGGTACAACCGTATCGATTATGTCACCGTATATATTTTGAAACTATAATAAGGATATAAATTTTCCTTTGTCGAGTTGGTTTGCAAGGTTTTCTTTCATTTTAGACCCGAGTTCAAAACCCATTAGTACTGCAAGGTCATCAACATAAATATATTTTATAATATACCGTTTGATTGGAGATGATTCCGTGATATATCTTTTGTAGTAAATCATGTTACATTTTCATTTAAAACAACTTTCAAGGTTATTTGTACGTGACAGT